TGAGTTTTCGTATACAGAATACACTCTGGTGTTCCGGTCACCGTCGAGATAAGCTTCGTTGGTTACAAGTTGTACTCCGTACTTGACGCCACCGAATTTATCTGCTGTGTGTCTTCTGGTAAACGTGGTTCTCGCTTCCTAAAAGTTAAATTCACTGTTCACAGGTTTTGCTTTCTGCCTCTCTCAAATGTTTTTTTTTTTTTTATGTCATTCTCTTGCAGTCTTCGTCATGGACGTTGTGAGTTGTATGGGTAACTATATTAGTATTTTGTACCACAATAGTATAATTTCAACAAAGAATTCGAAAAATTGGGTTACCTTTTGTGCCTCTCTTCAAAGTCTGAACTGCAGTTTCAACATACAGTATGTCAATGAACGGCCCAAACAGTTTCCAATCAATGGACGAAGAGAGGATTGCATTCCACTAGAATAAACTGATTGATCGCGCAACGTTACCAAATACTTCCCTTTTTAATATGGGAGGTTTCTCCCAGGTTTTAATTTGTGCAAATTCTGACCAAAAATCGGTGCAAGTCGAAAGACCGTGAAGACTTTGATTTGATTTTGACAGGCCAATTGCGTATTCACCAATCGCATGCGACTTGAAACCGCAAGAAAACTCTTGATCAGTTATGCAAGCATGATCCAGTGGCATTTTGTTCAAACAACTTCTTTGTCTGACTTTTATAATTCTTTTATTGCCACTTTCATGGAATTTTTATGAATATAAGTAGCTGAAATGGTTCTGCTTATTGCAGTTTACGAACACGAAGAATGAATTCCGATCCACTTCTATATGTATAGTGGTGGAGCGATGTAGCCTACGTAGCAAGCGTTTGGGCTTGATAACCTTGTCCCCGCTGCATGAGTCCGCTCGGGCGTTGTGGCTAGATCATACTCTCCAGAAGGACAGCTGAAGAACGCTAGTGACGAGTTTCTTGCAAATACAGGGTGTTTCAAAAGTTCGTTCCGATTGTAAATTGTATTTTGCGCAAGAAATTTAATGCTTCCTTAGGCAAATGTAAACTGATTCAGGTAGGAAATTTATCTAAATAACCGTTCAAAGCAATTTCAAACTAAAATTTGAAGAAATTATGATATTTTTTAAGTTTTTCCCCCAATGTGCTCGTACGCGAATTTTTCCCGCCATATTTTTCCTGCCCATTTTGTAGGTTTTCCCTTTTCGTTTTTCTGGCGTTTTCTTTTGTTTTCTCTACTCTTTCACGAAAATGAAGGCGTACACTGTTTGTGCTAGAGCGCAGGCGTCTATTTTTACGGTACTTTGTCCATTTAGTCAAAGAAATTGTCAAATTGTTGAAGAAGTGTGAACGATGAGAGAACAAGTGGTCAAAAGTAAAGACCTTACAAGACAAACCAAGGAGTAGATGGCCGGGGTTTTTTTACAAACTGTGTGAAAAATGTTATCGAAAAATCTGTAAGCATATGCGTAATAATTCAACAAGACTGCAAGGTAAAAAGAAAACTTCAACTTCACAATATCAAAGTTTCGAGCACAACAGTATGGAGATATGTGACCAACAAAGGTTGGAAAGCCTTGAAAAGAAAAAAGGCGGTGCACACTTCAGGCAGACATGGCATCAGAAGAATTTGCAAACTTTATACCAAAGGACGACCGGCCGGCAAACTCACGTGATGCGAATCCTCTTGTAACCATCTGGATTATCGTTGATGAGACAACATACAAAGATCCAGCCCCCAAAACACTGGACTAGCTAAGACAGCGACCATGCTTCACCTGGGAAATTGTGAATTTAGACACGCTATGGGAGCTCGTAAATTCTATACCTCACCGTTTAGAAAATGTCAGAAATCATAAAGGAAGACATTCTGGTTGCTAATATTTCAGTTATTCAATGTTAAATGAATAATGAATAACATGCTTAGGTTTACAAAAGTTATCTTTAATAATCAGTGAAATTTAAGTGAAGTGAAAATCGGAACGAACTTTTGAAACACCCTGTACTTTTTAAATTTTATATTCATAGCCATGTGGTCAGATTGCATTTAAATCCAAAAAAAAACTTCAGTAACAGTACACACACCAACTGAACATTGAGTTGACACTGCAACCAAGAGGACTGGTTTTTCTTCAAATTTATGCTAGTGATTTGTCAGGGAGTTTGGATCAGTTCGCTATTCTGGGCAACTTTCCACCTTCTCCTTCAATAACCCAACATTTTTCTTAAGTGATAAGTATTGGATCCCTATAATTTTCGGATCACCAGACTTTCAGCTAGGAAATCCGAACAGATGAAAAATTTTTAGAGGGATAAAAATATGCCTATATCTACCGTAACTATATTCTCGTTGGGTGCCCCTGTTTGCCGGTTTTGAGAAGCTGTTTCAAGCGGCTCTAAAATCAAGATCGATGGATCACACAGTAAAACACACAAAAAATAAAGAGTTACCCCCATGGCCCAGGCTTTTAACTTCCAAAAAAAGGATGAAAAGAGCCTGTGAAACACTATGGCGGTCAAATTCGATGTAAATAGAAAAGGATGTGATGAAGAAAACGGCTCGCGTTTAGCAGGTGTTTTATTGGAGCGTCCTTAAAGGGTATTTAGTCAAAGATGACAAAATTTCCGATGAATTTGGGTGTCTTTGAAAGCAAAAACAACAAAAGATTTAAATCGTAAAGCCAGCTGTTCTTTCTTTGTTTCTTAGGGCGACTTACAGAAATAAATAAATAAAAAAAGAATTGGCTGTTTGTTATTACCCGGGGGGTTATTACCCATATTTATGGAGTTACTACGGTGAAACATGAAATGTAAAATCCAAACACAGGGCAATTTGGTCCCGTTATTGTTTTTGTTTTTGTAGTATTCACATCAATGATTAGAAGAGTGATGACTGTATGAAGGTGGCGTGACAGAAGGCGGGAAAAACACTGCCACTTTTCACATTCGAGTCCTGATGTTTCCCTCGCCTTCGTCTCGGGAAACATCAGGACTCTCGGGAAAACAAGACTAACTGTTTCCCACGGGACCTGACATTAAGTGCATAATGTTGAACTCTTTTGAAAGATCGAGAGGAAAGAAAAGTGCCGTAGCGGTACGAATTACAGCGTGACTAGTGTAACCGGAGCACTAAAACAAAGTCCACCAAATGAATCAGTAAAATAACAATATACTCCAAGAAAGTTGGTCGTGGGGAAGCCACTAGTGTACTGAATAATTGACCACAAATGACAAAAAGGGCTGCATGACGTTTTTGCGTTTATTGGGTATCCCAATTTGAAGGACTTTCTACTCAATACTCACAAAGTAACAGTGAAAGCAGTGTTCACACCCTTGAGAAAGTTGCAATGTTTAAAGCAGTGTATTCTTGTACGGCTAGTTTTGGCTGGCATGGCCGTCAATGGGTTAATAAAATATCTTAATATAAAATATTTGTGTGTGTTTAAACTGCCAAAAAAGGATGAAAACTGGTACGAGCCACCTGGTCTAAGACAAGAAGACGATAAAAAATTATACAAAAGTGGGGGTCGAATACGGCTGTTTAGGTGCTTTGGGCAATAACCGCGTGCAGCTCGAAATTAGCCAAACGAGCGCGATCATGACTGTGATGCCTGTAATATCGCACAAAACATTATTCTATTCTTTATCCACCTACGGGGTCAATTTAGATGAATTTATGTTTCTGAGCAACCAACCTCGGAATCAAAAAACCATATTCGGGTCGAGATGCGTCCTATACATCTAAAAG